TGTTTTTCTTCTATTCCGATCATTACATTGTCGATCATATGACCTCAAGAAGAAAAGACTAAACATCAATTACAAAAAGACAGGATATATGGTTTTTAGCAAAAGGAAGAGCCCAACGTGCACAAATTACAAATTGGGAATGTCAAGATCATACACTGGGAAGTGTTTTAACAGGACGGAAATGCCTACACTGAAATTCGAAGGAGCTTTGAGATAGCGAAAGGCGAATCCCAAAAGCTAAGCAAAGTATTACGAATCAGAAACATTTCGGTAGAAACAACAACAACAAAAAAAAAAAAAAAAAAAAAAAAAAAAAAAAAAGCGTACTGGGCTATTACGTAATATCAATCCTCCAATATGGCAGTGAATGTCGGACAATTTCCTCAAAGAGACTTGAAGCAACAAAAATCTGATTCTACCGAAGGATACTGAGAATGCCTCTGAGTGAACATGTGAGCAACGACGAAGTTTTAGAAAAAAATGGAAACAAAATAGACGCGTATACTTAACATCAGGGAGAGACAGTTGACATTTCTAGGGCATATAATAAGGAAGGAGGGCTTGGAAAATGTGATACCCACAGGACAGACTGAAAAAAAGAGGGACAGGGAAAAACAATGCATAACCTACTGGTCTAACTTGAGTAAATGGATGGCCGAACATGGTTTAGGGAAGATAAGAAAAAGATTAAATTTACTAGGAGCTCAAACGGCAGAAAGGGGCACGACACAAAGAAGAAGAAGAAGAAGAGTAGGAGGAGAAGAAGAAGAAGAAGAAGAAGAAGAAGAAGAAGAAGAAGAAAAGAAGATGATGATGAGTAGGAGGAGGAGGGAGAGAAGAAGAAAAAGATGAAGAAGAAGAGTAGGAGGAGGAGGAAGAGAAGAAGAAGAAGATGAGTAGGAGGAGGAAGAGGAAAAGAAGAAGAATATGACGAAGAAGAAGAGGAGGAGGAGGAGGAAGAGAAGAGAAGAAGAAGAAGATGATGATGAGTAGGAGGAGGAAGAGGAGAAGAAGAAGATGATGATGATGAAGAAGAAGAGTAGGAGGAGGAGGAAGAAGAGAAGAAGAGTATGAAGTTGAGGAAGAGAAGAAGAAGAAGATGAGTAGGAGGAGGAAGAGGAGAAGAAGAAGATGACGAAGAATAAGTGTAGGAGGAGGAGGAAAAGAAGAAGAAGAAGATGACGAGTAGGAGGAGGAAGAGGAGAAGAAGATGATGATGATGATGAGTAGGAGGAGGAAGAGGAGAAGAAGAAGATGAGTAGGAGGAGCAAGAAGAAGAGGAGGAGGAGGAGGAAGAGAAGAAGAAGAAGAAGAAGAAGAAGAAGAAGAAGATGAGTAGGAGGAAGAAGAAGAAAGAAGAAGAAGAAGAAGAAGAAGAAGAATATTGTTAATCTTTAAGTTTTATTGACTCAGTCATTATCTCGCCGGGTTTTTCTTTATTCTTATGCTATTAATTTTCGTTTTCATTTACTGCTTCACTCTCTTCTAAATACATTCTAACATCGCATCATTTTTTCACCACCACTTCTAAATGCATAGCATCTACGCATCCTTGTAGGTGATGAAATATTTTCCACCTTACAACTCTTTTCCTACAGATGAAATGGCGCAAGTGGCAATAGCGATAGAGCAAGCGAGAGGTGGAACAATTCGTTGACTTCTCCGGGCGATGCCAATATGTCGTCGATCAAGGGTAGCGGATAGGCTAGTGGTTTGATTACCTTATTCAGAGCCCTCCACAGGGTTCTCTTTTCCCTGTCTCCAACTGTCACTTGTATGATTTTATGCTTAAGCAGTGGTATCCTGTATAGTATTAGCATTATAGTCAGGTAATTACCAGTTTCTATCCTCACATCCACTGTTTTTGTCTGGCCTAAGTCAGCATCCGAATCAGCTAACACGTCTCTGTTGATCCAACGGAAAATGTTCCAGCCAAGGACGCATTACAATTCACAGAGAATAAAGAAAATAACTTTTATGGAGAGTCAGGATCTATATGTATTGAAGGCGCATGACATTTTCAGTGTTGTATAGAATCTATTATATTTATATTAAAAAAATGGACATTATCGAAGAATGAGATTTTTGGATATCACTTATCAGTTTCCTCAATTTCTCTTATGGAAAATGTAAATCGCTTAGGGTGTGAAACTGACAGTCACCATACAGTGTTTAATTCTTATAGCCAATATTTCTATTTTTCTTTCTATATATTATTTACAGCCATATCACGTTCTCCGCATTCTTGTGGGTGAGGAATTATTTTCTACTCCACATCTTTCCCACAGATGAGACATCGTAAGCCTCTTAATACTCTATCGATATTTTCATGGAAAGTACTCAGACGAACTATATTCCTTAGTTGCACCAGTTCTAACCTTCCCGGCTAAAACTGGTCATGCCACGCACATTGTAGCGAACCGCCCTCATTCCCTTTCTATTCCATTGGTGAGATGTAACTTCCACTCGAGCAGTTTCTTCCCACGATCCGGTGCTTTGTGTATCCGGTTCCCAATAGGATTCTTCCACGACCATTACAATCTGAACCTGCTTAATTCTAAAGTTAACCGTTATTTTCCACCACATATCCACAGAAATTGTGTCTCTTACTCTATCTCGAGTGGCTTTCTAGATGGTGGACATCATTGATAAAGAAAAGCAAAAATAAACAAAGTTCATGTTAAAATTTTTAAAACAATAATTAAGAGAACGTTTTTATCGCCATTCTTATTTTGCACATTCTCGCTAAATTGAAAAAATAAGCAAATTAAAATCAGTATATAAAACGTTTAGAAAGCAAACGCTATCTTTACAAAATTCCCAAGAGCGACAAATAATAATAATAATAATAATAATAATAATAATAACACAAACAATTTAAATAAAACGACAAACCCGACTGCTGAAATCGATCAAATTTCTTTTTCTAAGCGTATTCTGAGACGTAAAATATCTCTATAGCTGTCTTCATGAATTTTTATTAAGTCTGCGATGCTACTCCACATGTTGGTGTGAACTTTTTGAATTAATAAAATATTTTTAAAAAAAATGAGATTCAGGAAGATAAAGTAGACGAATATATGAAACCTTTGGTCACGGTGTGTTTCCATCGTTCAAAATGAATAAAAAAATGGAAAGAAATAGATTAATTAATCTTGTTCTTTTTTATGCTATTTTCATTCTTTTCTCGACTACACTAAAAGGCACGTCTATTGAAGATAATGCGAATAGTTTTTTTAATAATTTTTTGCTATCATTTGATCTTTAAAGAAACTAAATTACAAAATCAAACACTTCACTACATATTCCGTATCCGTCGTCGTCGGCATCCGTCCGTCTCGAGAGACGATAGAGTAGCGTGGTGCGCTATGAGCCTGGGTGGGATATATGGAGAACTAGTGCTGCCCAGACGTCTAGTTCCCCTTCTCGGCCTTGCTAGCAGAGTCCAAAGGAAAGGATAAACCAATACAGTTTGGTACCAACGCGGCTGCAGGAGTTGCCGGAAGTGCCATCCATCCGCCTTAGGGGCTCCACTCCAGGTTTGAATTCAGAGTTGTCCTTCTCCTAGACCAGTTGCCATCCAAAGCTATAGAACCCAGTCTGTCCTGCTATTTACCCATAGCTGGAGGGAGAAGAAGAGGATTCACGCCTTTCTCAAGGGTATTAGCACATGTATTCCGTATAAGGCATTACTTTATATATATATATATATATATATATATATATATATATATAAATATATATATATATATAACAATCAATTTCCATGCCTGATGTCTGTATGAACAGATGAAAGTACTAGCGAAAAAAACATCTTATACAAGTTGAATTTATTAAAAACAGGGATCACAACATTCATCTAGTGGTTCGTGGGTTAATGTAATTTTAATAAATTTGTTTGCGAAGATGTATTCTCGCCATTTATATCATTAACTTCACTAATCTGTTTTTTTATGAATGATTCATGAATGATTATATATATATATATATATATATATATATATATATATATGTATGTATGTATGTGTGTGTGTGTGTATTTTACTTTATTTTCGTTAAACTTATTTCTGATGGATACTCATATTCGAGTAGAAGGTTTTTTTTTAATTAAAAAATACTTTTATCCAACTGCATCTACTGGTCTGAATATCTGTGGCATATTGTCAGAAAAATATGCGTGATCATTGGATCTAACGTACCTGACCGCTCTGACACGTAGGACTTCCGGTCAGACAAAGCCCGAATAATGCATTTTGAGCACACAATTCTCTGACGATTCTCGAATCATACATATCTGCTCTGTATGGTATCCTAAAGTAAACAAAAACAATTTATTCTTAGGAAATGGATTAAATCCGATATATTGTTATTTTTAATTAATTTTTGTTTATACGTTATTTTTGATGAATACTCATATTCGAGTAGAAGATCTGTTTTTTTTTTTTTTTTTTAATTAAACCTTTTTTTTTATCCAACTATATCTACCGGCCTGAATATTCGAGAAATCTTGTCAAAAAATTTGGCAGAGAAGTGTCTGTTCGAAAAACCCTATTCGGGGTTTGTTTGACCGGAATCCCTGGGTAACCCTCAGGTCCATTGACAGTTCCCCTTAGGAGTTGCAGGTTCGAATCCTGCTGGAGGATGCATATTTTTCTGACAAATATGGATAAATACTGGATAATCTATGCCTCCTGAAACGTCATAGTATACTAGAGGACTGTTAGCGGCCCTTCTCTTCTGTTTAAGCCATCACAAGAGGATTTCAAGCACCGCTAGAAAAATTTCATATTACAGGAAGCGTCACTTTCCAGATATTCCAAAGAGAAAAATAATACTAAAAAAAAAAGCAACAAGGGTATTTTAACCACCCTTTCAATTAATCTCAAAAAGCGTCATTTCTATCGAACTTTCAAAATAAACAAGATGGCGTTTAACTAACTCTTCAAATCTTTCTCATTTCCTAACGCCCTAACCGCACAAAAGAAAACAAATTTTAGCATACCACAGAAATGAAAACCAGTTTAAGACAAAAACCAGAGAAAAGGGGGAGTGTCATCACATGACCTTCCTTACAAAAAAAAAAATGCCAAATTCCCACATTTCACTGCACAATGATTACATTTCTGGCTTTTTTCCCTTTTTAACACACTAAAAAAAATCACATAAAAAAATGAAACAACGTTTATCATATGTCAGAACAATTTGAAACAGAGCACACACAAGAATAAAAAAAATATGATCAAAATATGTACATCCTGTGGGTTCCTGTATAGTGTAAAATCATCAGACGCATTTTTTAAAGGATTGAAATTTAAACAGAACGTTCACATTGTCCTTTTCTCCAAAAACTCAACCAAAAAAGAAAATGTGGAATATATGGCTACAAATGTCTTTCCTTTTTTTTCTTTCTTTTCTTCGAATTTCACACGTATAGTGAGAAATTGTAGCTTCTCTCCAGTTGGCTTTGTTAAGGGTTACCTGAGAGTAACCAGACCTCAAATCAATGGTGGAAAAATTAGTTGACTTCTCCGGGCGATTCCAATATATTGTCGATCAAGAGCAGGTGATAGGTTAGTGGTTCGATTATCTTATTCAGAGCCCTCCACAGGGTTCTCTTATCCCTGCTTCCAGCATATCGCCAACTGTCTATTGTAGGATTTTATGATTATGCAATGGTGTCCTGTATATTATTAGCATTATAGTCAGATAATTACCAGTTTTTATCCTCATATCCACTGTTTTTGTCTGACCTAAGTCAGCATACGAATCAGCTAACATGTCTCTGTTGTCGCTTATAGATTTCAGGATATTCCCTTTGTGCCTATGTGGAGTTAATATTTCCTCCTTCCTAATTATGGAATTATTATATTTACTGCTATGGTCTTTTGCGCATTCTACCTGGCCTTCTTATACTTTCTCTTCCTTGTGAACCCTTATTGTTTTTTTTAGTAGTATTACTAGCTAGCATTATTTTGATACGATCCGTATCGTCATCTTCCACTACTGACTCCGTTAGAGTTAATTCTGCCTCTCCAAAATGAGGTTCGTCCGTATGGGCGACCTGATACATATTCCTTCCTCCTAACGGTATTTCTCTTTTCCCAATCTTTAGCAGTAGAAGTGATGTGTTATGACTTATCTGTGCTTCATTACTTTGAAGCCAACCCCTACCTAGTATCATGGATCTACACAAGGTGGGTGTTAGATACATTTACTACACCGTGATTACCCCTCCCACCGCTACAGAAAGGTGTACTAATCCTAATACCTTAATCTCTCTTCCGTCTGCCTGAAATATTTTTGTTTCGTAACATTTGGCTTGCTCCTCTTAAATCCTAGTTTAAAATAATCTTTACCTTTAATTATCGAAATGGTTGTCCCTGAATCTATTAATTTGCTCCCCTCCCCGACGTGGCCTTATATCTTAAATCAGATTCCTGGCCGAACAGGACGAATGCACTCTGGGTACAGTTCTTCTTTAGATGACCAGACTTCCCACAACTCCAGAAAACCACTTGCTTGGTACCTAGGTGAGGTTTTGATTATTCCTTTCAAAACTACTAGAAAACAGCCCCACTGTTTCCTTCCAATGAAACATGGTCTCTATATTTTCCTAACGTGCCATCCCATCCCGTGTACGTACCTCTTGGAAGTCTCCAGTCTCTCAAACAGACTAGGAACAAATCTGTCCTTACGAATGTTTCTAATCATGTCTGTATAATCATGGTCTCTCTGTACAGTAACGTTAAAGGCTATTTTAGTAAGTTTGGACATTTCCCTTCGCCCTGTCTAATTCTAACTAATTAACTTGAAGCATCAGCTAATATTCTCCATATTGAGTCGTTTACTGTTGCAAGAGGTCCGTCTAGCTATTTTCAGCTTTTTCGCCTAAAATATTTCGGGAATAGTACCATCAGAATAATCATAAGCTAAGATGAAAATTTCTGCCGACGTTAGTTTATGGATCCTGGCTTTTTTTTTTTTTTTTTACATCGCAGAATATAGAATCTGGACAAAAAAAAAAATCTATCCATAGTTAAAATAAAAAAAAAAAAATAAAATACCACTAAATCAATAAAACATAAAGGACATAAGTAGCTGGACAAAAAAAAAGAAAAGAAAAAAAAGAACGCGGCCGGCGAGATAGCGAGAGGCGGGGGAAATGAAAAAAAAAACTTCCTGCAACGGAAAAAGGACCATTACACTGGGTGCCTGTCTGCCTCAGTAACTCACTCACTGCTGGTCTCTTCCACCTCACCTCCTAACTGACTCTGCTAATACTGGCTGAGGTCCCATTACCCCTATCTGTCCACTTATGTTCGGGAAAGTGTGCCACTCATTCAACTTTTGGGTGGTCAGTTTTTCAAGGGACTCTACACTTATGATTATCTAAAATCAGTAACAAAATTTAAAGTTTGTTACGTCAAAGGCGGGATGGAGACAGGAATCCTGACAAATCCTGGTCTTTAAACTGACTTGAAGATGGACTAGAGACGAGATTCCTCAGAACCCTGGCCATTAAATTGACTTAAAAGGAAAAATAAAACATCTATCTATCTATCTATCTATCTATCTATCTATCTATCTCCTAAGGATGTGTGGGAAATCGTATTCCTACACAGTTACTTGCAGATAAGTTTTATCATAGCTTACGTATACATAATCCCACAATATAGTGTCAAATCAGTCAGCTTTAACTGTTTTAACTTGAATGTTCAGCTAGTCTTAGATATAGGCAGCACCCTGCGTAAGAAGGTTTAAACATTTCATTTCATGAATGTAACATACATGTAATTTTATTTAAGAATAAAAATAGTTTTGACAGCATCCAGAAATAATGACATTCCTTGAAAATGTGTTGGATTGTTTCGCTACAAAAAATAATGAGAATTTCATCATCTCATAAAACAACTCTCATTTCAGTCAAAGAAAAACTTTCTCACTAATTTTGAGAAGTCCCCAACTCATTCGTTTATAAAATTTTATCTGAAAATTGACGTTAACTTTAGCTTAAACTATGGCCACAGTATCAAAAGTTTTATAAATTTTATGCTTCATACTAATCACATAGCTTCCTTCACTTCTATCCAAACCATTTCGTTTATTTTTCTGCAATAAGATAAAGTTAGCAAATGTTTAAATTTAATTACAACAAAACGTAGCATTTAAAAGAAATATTTATTATGGATAAAGCAAATACCTTTTTTTTTATCAGTGTAAACGCAAGTTGCATAAACACTAAAACTAGTACCCTCTTAAACCAAACCTTTCCTTCATCTAAATACAATCTGTCATCTGGACTAATCTCATTAAAATGAGACCAAAGGGTTTTCTTAAAATTACAAACTTTAGTTTCATCTACGCATATGTTTTATTTTGATAATTGTTTTGATATTTTTATCACATACGTAAAAAAAAAGACCAATAACTGCCCCTTATGTTCTGATGTAGTATATTTTGCAAAAATCAGTGTAAGCACTGGAAATCATACAGAAATATTTCTCATAAAAGATTCTTTATTTCTACATGGTCATTTACAGGATTTAGGAATTAGTATACTAGCATAGAAAATTTTAAATTTCCCTGGTATCACGTACGTCGGAACTGTTTGTAGTGTGAATAAAACCACACTTTCTTTTAGCATTGAAACTGTTTATAACTTTTGATGGCAAAATGATCACATTTCATATATTAATAACTATTTCACAAATTTTGTTAGTTTTAATGGAATTTATTGATTCAATATTTTCAATTTAAAAAAATTCTCCAGATTTCATATAAGTCACATGCGAATGGCCCATCTATAATCAATTTATATTTTTTATCCAATCAAAAAAATTTATGTTTTTTCACCCAATCAAAAAATTTCTTAAAGACTCAATTTTGATGTTAGCACGAAGAGGATACTGATGTTTCACTCTTTCCATTTGAACACGTTGTAGCGAAGGTTGTCACGATAAATTTCCAATTACTTCAATATGTTCTTAGTTGTTCATCAATGTACTAGTAATCTATCTATCTATCTATCTATCTATAAGAAAGGGAGGAGAAAAAATTTCAGCCCGGCCCGCTTTACAAAATATGACCAAATGAGCAACAATAATAATTTGATTTGTAATCGCTTCCAGATGGAGTCGATAACTTTTCAACACCCACTCCTATCGATATTTATTACAATTATCGATATTTATTACAACTTATATATATATATATATATATATATATATATATATATATATATATATATATATATATATATATATATATATATATATATATATATATATATATATGAGGAGCTAGAATTTGCGTCTCGGATTGAAATAGGACAACCGAGTTCGAAGACAGATACCCTTGGTAAGGGTCTATTTGGTTAAATAGCCAGACTTGATTCTATAGCCTTGTATAGCAACTGGTCTAGGAGAAGAACAACTCTGAATTCAAAACCTGCGGAGGTTCGTTTGGGGACCTTGTGGCACGTAGTGCACGAGGTCTCTGTATTCGGCCCTTCAAAAAGTGTGGATGCTTCTGCACAAAACCTTCACCACTATAATCAAATCTCATTTGCTGTTGTCGGGCTGTCGGTTTCCTAGGAACTGATCTGCCTAACACTCGTACGTCGAATTCGACGGGAGAGTCGAGTATATATATATATATATATATATATATATATATATATATATATATAAAAGTAATGCCTTATACGGAATACACCTGCTAATACCCTTGAGAAAGGCGTGAATCCTCTTCTTCTCCCTCCAGCTATGGGTAAATAGCAGGACAGACTGGGTTCTATAGCTTTGGATGGCAACTGGTCTAGGAGAAGGACAACTCTGAATTCAAACCTGGAGTGGAGCCCCTAAGGCGGATGGATGGCACTTTGTGCTACCGTCCGGCAACTCCTGCAGCCGCGTTGGTACCAAACTGTATTGGTTTATCCTTCCCTTTGGACTCTGCTAGCAAGGCCGAGAAGGGGAACTAGACGTCTAGGCAGCGCTAG